CCTTCCCAGGCACTGTTGTTACCACTTGACCAAGGATCCCTCAAGCGGCCCTTATGCAGGCGTGAAAAGAGGGCCCACCTCTTGCCTTCTAGCTCACTTCTCACAATGTCCCTTCAGTACCTGACCCTATACCCGCCGGTTATTCCTTGGTAATATAAGTAATACAACAAAGAGTAATAGTAAAAGCTAATGATTAATGTTTATACTAATGATTGATAATGTCCATGATCATCTCTATATCTAATTTGTATTATAACTATTCTTATTTTAACTATTTTCTTTATTATACTGAAACAGTTTGTGCCTTCAGTCTCTTGCCTCGGCACCAAGGTAATCCTTCACCCACATGCTGCTATAACAAAGTACCTGAGATAGGGTAATTTATAAAGAACAGAAATTTGTTTGTTACCATTCTGGAGGCTGGGAAATCCAAGATCAAAATACCAAGAGGTTCGATGTCTGGTGAGGGCTCCTCTGCTTCCAAGACAGCACCTTATTGGTGAGGGGAGGAGTGCTGAGTGCTCACTTGGCCAGAAACCTTGTCTGCAAGGTCACTACCTCCATCCACAGGGAGGAGCCTCATGGCCTAGTCACCTCACGGCCTCACCTCCTTATACCATCACACTGACCACTAAGTTTCTTTTTCTTTTTTTTTTCTGAGATAGGGTCTCACTCTGTAGCTCAGGCCGGAGTGCAGTGATGTGACCAGAGCTCACTGCGGTCTTGATCTCCTGGGCTTAAGTGATCCTCCCACCTCAGCCTCCTGAATAGCTGGGAGTACAGGGACATGCCACCATGCCAAGGTCCACCTCAGCCTCCTGAATAGCTGGGACTACAGGCACATGCCACCATGCCAAGGTAATTTTAAAATTTTTTGTAGAGACTGGGTCCCATTGTGTTGCCCAGGCTGGTCTTGAATTCCTGGGCTCAAGCGATCCTCCTGCCTCAGCCTCCCAAAGTGCTGGGATTACCGGTGAGCTACCACACTGGGCCTTGGCCATTCAGTTTCAACATCTGAATTTTGGAAGGGACACATTCAAACCATGGCACCCCCCAAATACTCTAAAAACAAGGATCACCTCCACTACGCAATCCTCCCAATGGAGAAATCAGTATCAACACATTGTCCAACCCATAGATCCCACCCAAGCTTCACCAACTGTGCCCACACTTCTTGTCCCATGTCTGGGACCTCCCAGGAACATACATGGCAAGGCGTTGTTACGTCTCCTCAGTCTCATACGATCTGGAACAATTCTTAGTCTCATCCTGTCTCTTATGACAATTTATTTATTCATTTGAGAAAGGGTTTCCCTGTCACTCAGGAGAGACTGCAGTGGTGCAGTCATAGCTCACTGCAGCCTTGAATTCCTGGGCTCAAGCAATACTCTTGCCTCAGCCTCCTTAGTAGCTGGGACTACAGGCTCATGCCACCATGCCAGGGCAATTTTAAGATTTTTTTTTTTTTGTAAAGATGGAGTCTTACTACGTTGCCCAGGCTGGTCTTGAACTCCCAGCCTCAAGTGATCCTTCTGCCTCAGCCTCCCAAAGCGTGAGCCATTGTTCCTGGCTCATGACAGTAATAAAGAAAACAGAATGGCCTTCCTTCTGGGTCTGCCTGATATTCCCTAGGCTAGACTGAGGCCATGGTTTCTGGCAGAAAAGTGTCGGGCATGCTGGTGTGCTCTTCTCAGCACACCACACGGGGACTCAGTTTCAACTTTTCTCCACTGGTGACAGGTGCCTCATTACCTGGCCATGCTGGTGTCTGCTGGCGTTTCCCACCAGAAAGTCTCAATTTTCCTCTTTGTAATGGAAAAGTATGCTGAAGAAAGATATCCACTCTCATTCCTCATCAAATCTCCACCTACCTCCCTGAACCTCCATTCATAGCTCACTCCTGCAACAACCCCACTACAGTGATTGGTAAAGATGATTTCTATTCTCGTAATTCCTTCTTCATTTATTAGTTCACATTCTACTATAAAGAAGAACCTCCCCTTCTCCACTATTCTTTTCCCTGCATTCATCACTGGTTTATCTACATCAGTGTGGACTATTTTGCTCACTCAGTGGTAATCTGCCAGTATCATTCTTTGTTTTGTTGCTCAAATTGTCCTAGATTTCACCAGCAAGAACTCCCGCCAGCTACTTTCCATGTCCTTTGATCTCCTGTGAATCTTTGAGCACTTCTTCACTTCCTTGAACAACAAAATATTTCAGGATCATCTCGTACTTTCACTCCAGCCCTGAAATTAACCATTTCTCCAAGGAGTCCTGATTCCTTTTGTTGGAAAATCTTATTTAGAATTTAAGATCCAGGGGCTACCTGTGATCATTGGTACTGGGGTACCATTGTGTCTAGATACTCAGCAGACAGAACTAGAAAGTATTTCTGTGTTTATATGCACATATACCTACACATGCCTGCACACACATACAACTATCTTTATATCTATCTGTATATATTTTTTAAAATGAGTTCATACTACCACTTCCAGTTCCAATCCAATTCCTCAGTGTTCTTTTTAGCCTTCCCTCTTCCATGTTTTTACCTTCTCCAACAGCAAGAAACCTGGCTTTCACTGTCCCCAGTGTATTTAATTTGCTGGTATAACCTCCAAAAGGAAGAGATGCAGAGCACGTGCTCCCATCCTCCACAATGAGACATATTTAGAGGTGTTGGGGAGGACCCAAAAGCAGGAAGAGTTGAACCTAAGCAGAAGACAGCACTTTCCTCTGAAACCAGGAGGCTGGAACTTCGCAGCTGTGCACCGGAGCACTCGGAATGACACTCCAGAGAAAGCAGCACTTTTCCTTGTTTACAAGACTTTTTCTTGTTACAAGAAGGAAACGATGGAGGGGACATGAAAGATCATAGGAGATTGAGGGGTTATAACGTTAGCAAAAATCTAAGAGCCGAGCTGGACCTGCAGTCAGACTGGACACCTGTAAGACTGAACTGTGGTAGGGCCTTACGATCTGCTTTCTGCAGGCAATTAACCACAGGGAGTGGCTGGAAGCCCGGGACTCACAGAGAGAAGCTGAGGACACTCGGGCTGACTGGTATGCAACACGGGAAATTCTCTTCAATCTAGTTTACATCCTTGCGTCAACCACTGGATGGCATATGGCACAGGAATTTTTTTTTTTTTTTTTTTTTTTGAGACGTTGTCTCACTCTGTCACCCAGGCTGGAGTGCAGTGAGTGGCGCGATCTCGACTCACTGCAATCTCCGCCTCCCGGGTTCAAGCAATTCTCCTGCCTCAGCCTCTGGAGCAGCTGAGACTACAGGTGCGTGCCGCCATGCCGAGATAATTTCTCATTATTTTTAGTAGAGACGGGGTTTCACCATGTTAGCCAGGATGGTTTTGATCTCCTGACCTCGTGATCCGCCCTCCTCCGCCTCCCAAAGTGCTGGGATTACAGAATTTTTTACGGGACTTATGTTCATGCAAGTCTTTGTAGGATATGAACCTACAATTTTCCAGTAGAGGAAAGCTGCAAAAGAAAAGCTCAGGCTCCTTTCTGTGTCAACAAGGCAATTACTTGCTTTTGTGTTGAGGTTTAGTTTTGAATGAAAGGTGGTGTTAGGAGCATTAACCGGTCGCATATTTACAATCTACATCATATAATTTGCTGCTGCAGCAAACCAGGGACTGTGAAGATTAAGAAAAAGGAAACCACTTCCATCTCTTGCTTGGGGTTTACTGCCCTTGCCTGGAGTTGAGCGTTTAGACTCTGCAATGTTTTACCTATGTGATATAATCTCCACATACATATGCACACAAAATTTTGCAGACACAGGAATGAGGGGAGAGAGATTCCCATGGAAAGGTGACCCTGCTTCTTCTGGGCATTTGTTTACTCATTCAGTACCTGCCAGTGCCCTACTCTGTTACAAATTCACTGAAAATTCCCTTGGAATTCACTGAATATGCTCAAAAACAGTCAAGTAGGATGTTCTTTGCTACTGTTTGGCTTGAAGTTTCCTTGAAAGAGATTTCAAAACAAATATAATTATCTCGATTGAATTCACTGGAAAATAAAGTGATCAATAGTCGTGTTTTTGAGTTAACTGAAAAATGATCTCAGGAATCACAGGCAAGGCCCAAAATTAGTCGTCTGAAACAGCTATTAATAGTTGGCCACAGTATTAACACCTTTGGCGAAGCCGCGTGGTGCCCGGGGTGAGTTCCCGGGTGTCAACAGCGTCCCTTGGGCGCTTGCGGTGGTCTTTGCCCGGCACTACCACACCCCTCAGGGAGGGTTTTTGGGATTAAAGGCATCTTAAAGCCAACTGAACTGTGTGAGAGTTGTCAGGCTCACAACGGAGACGTTCGTGTTTAAAACCCTGACAAGCAAGGTGGGAAGGGCCACAGAGGCAGCGTTCTCCCGCCGGAATGCCGGATAACAAGACCATCCCGAGAGACTGCGCAAAAGCCACAACCGTGCACACTGGCTACGCAACCTCACACCGAAGAAATACTGGAGGACTCCCGCCAGCAACGCCCGTCTGACCTCCCGCGGGCGCCCTCGTCACCGGTCCTCGTGGCCGGGGAGTTACCGCAAACAGGGCCGCCGCCCTCTCATCCCCCCGCCACCCCGGATGCGCTCAGCGGCCGCGCACCCCCACGCCTGCCAGCAGCTCCCAGGGCCGGTCAGTCTTCGCGTTTGACGACGGCAACTTCCCGCGCCTCGAAGAGCGCAGCCACGCACCCGGAAGCCGCCTCGGGAGTCCCACGCCGCGGCGCGACGCCGCGCCAGAACCGCCCGCGGGCTCCGAGGCCACCGGCGAGTGGGGAGGGTGCCCTGTGGGGCTGGGGCTCGGAGAGGACGCAGGCGCGCCCGACCCACGCAACAAGCATTCTCCTTCCCGGTCCCGACTCCCGCCAGCCGAGACACAGCGCCCCGCGTGATGACGTCGTGCGCCTGCCCCGCCCACTCCAGTAGTCATCGACCCAGCCCACGGCCCGCCTCGCGCGATGACGTCACATCCACCCCGCCCACTCCCGGTGACGTGCCAGCCTCAGGCCCACGCCGCTCCCGCCCCGCGTGATGACGTCGCCGTCCCGGGAAGAGGCGGGCGTGCGGCGGAGCCGCGTCCCCTCAGAGGGGCGCTGGCGCGGGGCTGAGTCGTCCGGGATCAGCGCGAGCACCCAGCCCGCCTCGGCCGGGAGGGCAGCGCGGCACGGCGGGGCGATGAGCGGCGCCCGGGGCGAGAGCCCGGAGGCGGGCGCCGGCGGGGCTGGGGGCCGCGCGGCGCCTGAGAACCCCGGGGGCGTGCTGAGCTTGGAGCTGCCCGGGCTGCTGGCGCAGCTGGCGCGGAGCTTCGCGCTGCTGCTGCCCGTGTACGCGCTGGGCTACCTGGGGCTCAGCTTCAGCTGGGTGCTGCTGGCGCTCGCCCTGCTCGCCTGGTGCCGCCGCAGCCGCGGCCTCAAGGCCCTGCGCCTGTGCCGCGCGCTGGCGCTGCTGGAGGACGAGGAGCGCGCCGTGCGCCTGGGGGTGCGCGCCTGCGACCTGCCCGCTTGGGTGAGTGCAGACCCCTGCCCGCCCGGACCCCTGGCCCCCGGTCCCGATCCCTCCTCGTCCAGGCAGGCGCTCCCCTTCCCGCGACCTGCCGCCTGGGCGAGTTCGCAGACCGCAGCCCCGCCCCGACTCCCGCCTTCGTAGTCCCCCACCCACCCCGGTCCAGGCAGGCGCTCCCCTCCCGCCTGGGCTACTGCAGACCCCAGCCCCGACCCCCGGCGCTGTTCCTGCGACCTGCCAGCCTAGGTGACTGCAGACCCCGCCCCGCCCCGACCCCCAGCCCCGACTCCCAGCCTGTGCACGCAGGCGCTCCCCTGCCCGCGACCTGCCCACTCGGGCGAGTGCAGACCCCAGCCCCGCCCCAGCCTCCGGCCCACTCCCTGCGAACCTGTCCGCCTGGGGCCGCCGCCCTCCGCTCCCGCCCGAGTCCTGAGTGCTCCGTGCCTTCCCGCCGTCCGAGTCGGGCGTCCCCGGTCTCCGCTTCCCCGCCCGCCCAGGCTCCGGGTCCTGGGCGCGTCTGCCCTCGCTGTCCCGCGCGGCTTCCTGGAGACTCCTCCTCACAAAGCCCGTTTCCCTCCCCCGGCCTGCGGACCCCGAGCGCCAGCGGCAGGTACCGGGCGTGGCGCCCCCTCTTCGGCCGCGGCGCTGCCGGAGCGCGCGCTTCCTTCTGGTGCCGCCCGCGGGGTCTCTTTAGGGGCCTGAGCGGCCGGTTGGGCTCTCAGAGCGCCCAGCGCGATTCTCGTGCTCCTTCCCAACTCCCTGCCGGCCTGGAAATGCTCCAGGTGGCTTCAGCTTTTCCTTCTCTCGGTTTAAAAAAAATGTAATGACAGCTGGTGGGGGAGAAGTTAACTTTTTCTTCTACCCAAGAGGACTCACTCATGTCTTGGTTGTTTCTGACACATTTCAAGGGCAGTGAGTATCTCCCGAAAGATGTGGAGATATTAGATAATTGAAAGATTGTTTCAGTTTTTTGCAAGTATAATTGTGAGACTGAGCATTTTTATATGGGGTCGACCTGAGTCCAGTGTGAATGTGTGTGTGTGGCACGAAGTTTTGGAAGAGTTGCAGCAATAGCAAGAGTCATAGTGTTATTTCATTTTTAACTCTGGCAATTCTTTACCCCATATATTTATGGACTATAGACACGAAGAGTTGGCTTCATATCTTTTTCTGGTCGTTCCCTAATTCTTTCTTAGCCATGACTTGGCGTCACAGTTTCACACTGCAAGAAAGAGGATTTTAATGATGCTTCCATTAGGCTTAATGTAAACTTTGGGGTGAAGGTGGCCAGCAGTGGGTTTCGGAAGGGTCATTTTCCCTTAGAGGAGAAAAGGTCCCTGTTTCCAGTGAGAAGTAAAGCATGACACAGATGGCAAACAAGAATTAGAAAGGAGGCGTGCCCAGGACAAGAAGATAGTAGATGCTACTTTGTGACGACAGATTGCAACTGAAGTAAGAATATAATGTAAGGGACTTGGGAATGCACAGTTCTGCCGATGCGTGGTGAGCATGAGGGACAGTCGTATTTGGAGAACCAAGGTAACTGGCATGGTACAGCTTTTTGCTAGCAGTGGGAAAAATTGAGGGTCGTGTAGAAAACGGGAAGTTAGAGGAACCGAGGTGGGAAAAACTTAAGAACAGAAGAGGTGCACTTTGGAAATGGAAAAGGACTTTAAAGTGACATTTTGTGTCTATATTACACTACGATGCATAATGTTAAAAAGTAGCTAAAAATAGAGTCCATTACCATCCATTACCAAAACAGCAACGTAATCAATGCTGAAATTTGCAGGAAGTGATGATGCTGACTTTCATAGAACTTGGTTATTGGCCAATATCAAATTCGCTTGTTAAAAATCTTTGTGAAACACAGATTTTCTTTTCTTTTCTTTTTTTTTTTTTTTTAAGACAGAGTCTCTCCCTGTCCCCCAGGCTGGAATTCAATGGCATGATCTTGGCTCACTGCAACCTCCGCTTCCAGAGTTCAAATGATTCTCCTGCCTCAGCCTCCCGAGTAGCTGGGATTACAGGCGCGCGCCACCACGCCCAGCTAATTTTTGTATTTTTAGTAGAAACAGGATTTCACCATGTTGGCCAGGCTGGTCTCGAACTCCTGACCTCGTGATCCGCCTGCCTTGGCCTCCCAAAGTGCTGGGATTACAGCCGTGACCCACCGCGCCTGGCCACACAGCCTGTTTTCTTGTGATACTTAAACAGATGCAATTGCTGCCATATTGAAGAACTGAAATTCTTTTATTTTATTTTATTTTTTTTGGAGATGGAGTCTTGCTCTGTTGCCAGGCTGGAGTGCAGTGGCACGATCTCAACTCACTGCAACCTCGGCCTCCCGGGTTCAGGCCATTCTCCTGCCTCAGACTCCCGAGTAGCTGGGATTACAGGCATGCACCACCACGCCCAGCTAATTTTTGTATTTTTAGTAGAGATGGGGTTGCACCATGTTGGCCAGGATGGTCTCGATCTCTTGACGTCGTGATCCGCCTGCCTCGGCCTCCTAAAGTGCTAGGATTACAGGCGTGAGCTACCGTGCCTAGCCTGAAATTCCTTTTTTAAGAAAAAAAACAGAATACAGGCCGGTGCGGTGGCTCAAGCCTGTAATCCCAGCACTTTGGGAGGCCGAGACGGGCGGATCACGAGGTCAGGAGATCAAGATCATCCTGGCTAACACGGTGAAACCCCGTCTCTACTAAAAAATACGGGTGGATCACGAGGTCAGGAGATCGAGACCATCCTGGCTAACACAGTGAAACCCCGTCTCTACTAAAAAATACAAAAAAACTAGCCGGGCAAGGTGGCGGGCGCCTGTAGTCCCAGCTACTCGGGAGGCTGAGGCAGGAGAATGGCCTGAACCCGGGAGGCGGAGCTTGCAGTGAGCTGAGATCCGGCCACTGCACTCCAGCAAGGGGGACAGAGTGAGACTCCGTCTCAAAAAAAAAAAAAATACAAAAAACTAGCCGGGCGAGGTGGCGGGCGCCTGTAGTCCCAGCTACTCAGGAGGCTGAGGCAGGAGAATGGCGTGAACCTGGGAGGCGGAGCTTGCAGTGAGCTGAGATCCGGCCACCGCACTCCAGCCTGGGCGACAGCGAGACAACGTCTCAAAAAAAAAAAGAAAGAAAAAAACAGAATACAAATGTAATTTAGCCAAAGATTCTTTTTGAGTTTTTAATCTGTGTGACTTAAACTGATGAACCATGGTGTTCACCTCATGAAGAATTTATATTTTCTCCAGAATGTTTTACTTGTGATTCCAAATTTGTGCCTGAGCTCATAATCCCACACATACAGACTTCAATGTGCCTAGGTTGCTTAAGACATTTCTTGAAGGATTCACATGAAACTTGACAGTGATTGTGTTCACAGTTTTAGAGAGATTTTAAAAATATCTTTTAAAGTATACTTATGTATCTATTTTATGATATTTATTAAAAATATAATATACTTTGTTTTCATCATAAAACCAGCAGGTTGTATGGTCTCGAAACGTGCCTGAAATTCTGCTGTGTGACAGGGGTTTTGAGGGGGGAGGTCAAAGCACATCAATAAGAGAAGAAACTATGAATAAGAAAAGTTAAGATTTCAATATTACTTGCACTTTGGGTTTGTTTTTGTTTTTATTTTTCTAGAAATGAGTTCTTACCATGTTGTCCAGGCTGTTCTCAAACTTTTGGCCTCAAGGGATCCTCCCACTTAGACTTCCTGAAGTGCTGGCATTACGGGTGTGAGCCACCATGCCTGGCCAGTATTACTAATACTTTGATTTTTATCATACATACATTGATTCTTGGGGTTTCTGAACTTTGGGCTGATATTTTGCCTTGAACAAGATATATTTGTATATCCCAAAGACTGTACTCGTTTTCATAGTATGTCGTTGACAACCATTAATTCATAGCAGAGTGGAAACATAGGAAAACATGAATTAATGAGATACTGATTTCCTCACTTCACTTTTGTATATATTCACTGGCAGCTTTTCTTCTTACTGAGTAAAAACTGAAGCTGGATATGGAAACGAGATAAAGAGTGTTAATACTTTGAGAAAAAATATATACTCTTCCTGATTTAGGCTATTAGGATATGAAAAATGGCTTTCACTTAACTGTGATAATTCTGTAAGTTTGGTCCTACAGCTTTAAAATAAAGTGTTATTTTTCTTCACTTATTTTCCCATAAACAGTTATGTTCCAACTGTTTAGGGGAAAGACTTGGCAGGCTGGATGAATTGAGGACGGGGCTTTTTGTTGTTTAAATGTCTACCCAGTGTTAATGGGCCCTGGACAATTAGACTACTCTGGGTGAAGAGAAGATTTATTTATTTATTTATTTATTTGTTTATTTATTTATTTATTTATTTTTGAGATGGAGTCTCAATCTGTTGCCCAGGATGGAGGGCAGTGGCATGGCCTCGGCTCACCACAACCTCTCCTGCCTCAGCCTCCCAAGTAGCTGGGAGTACAGGTGCCCATCACCACGTTTGGCTTATTTTTGTGTTTTTAGTAAAGACAGGGTTTCACCATGTTGGTCAGGCTGGCCTCAAACTCTTGACCTCAGGTGATCCACCTGCCTCGGCCTCCCAAAGTGCTGAGATTACAGGTGTGAACCACTGCGCCCAGCCTTTTTTATTTTTTAAAGAGAGGAAGTTCTTGCTGTGTTACCCAGGCTGGTCTTGAACTCTTAGACTCAAGCAAACCACCTACATGAGCCTCCCAAGTAGCTGGGATTACAGGTGCATGCCACCATGCTCAGGACTGTGAAGAAGATTCTTGAAGAGTTTTTATAGAGATGAATAAGGGCAATTTTTCATTGCTATTTTTATTTATTTGAAAATACTAGATCTTCATAGGATAAAGTCTGACTCTATCGTGCTTTTATTATTGCCACTAAATGCTGATTCTGTGGCTGCCATGGATAATACTGTCACGGATAATACGACTCAACTGTTCTGACAGTCGGTCTTTTATCACCTCATACTTGGGTTATTGAGA